AGATCATGACCAATGTTACAGCACCCTATGTGCGTCCATCTCTGGCAGAGGGCACACTGGACGGCCTTTGACCGGGAGGTGACACCTTTCCACACACTTGTATGCCATTTTTCGAGAGGAAAATTTGACAACAGTCAAATTTCGTCAAACGTGTGTATTCGAATACTTTTCTTCACGATATATTCACCTAATAGACTCGAAGTATAGCACGCCAGAAAGTGGAGTTACCGCGTAGTACTCACAGGACAGGTTCACAGCATGGTACTGTCTTCATGGGACTACTTTCTGGAGATATATTCGACATTGTCGCTGATAGTAAACTTTTGAAAAAGGAAGTCAATTTGGAAACTCACCACCCGGCATGCCTGCCGAACTTCGCCGCAGATTTCATGCCAGCTGTCAAAGACCGGGCGAGATCATCAAGGCATACGTACGGGATTTGCGTAGAATGGCCGAAACAGCTTTTGCCGACGAATCGCAGGAGCAGCAGGATAAGCGCGTCTTAGAACAGCTACTCGAAGGTATCCAAACGCCTTCTGTCAAAAGGGAGTTCCGTTTGCATCCTCCCGAGCGTCTTGACACGACCCTGCAAGTGGCGGTACAGTTGGAGCAGGTGGACGCAGCGATGGCGACCCCGAACTACTGGTGTGATGCTTTGCCGCGGGGGGGAGGGGAAGATCAACTTGAACGCACGCCAACAGAAAGCGGAACACAACAAGCTACCTTCGATCGAAGTTACGGCGGACGACGGACCATCAACCCAACCTTTGGAAGGCCGTAACCGCAGCCACAAAGACGCGGTATATACCAACCACTTCCCAGCAACAACTGTTTTCAAGGTGAGCGCGACTATTTAAAACCTGATTTAATACCTGCTGTTATTTGTACATTCACCGCAACGTCAACATCGACATTGGAGGTGCGGGTCGCGGAAATCCCATTGGTGGGTTTGATTGATACTGGTGCATGCAAAAGCTTGTATAGGTAGGACGTAGCTAGGCGGCTGACAGGCTGCGTTCGGCCCCTTGCCATTATCGCATCACGGCCGATAATGGTGAGCCTCACTGTTCGAGAATCGATCACCGTACAGGTAGATATCGCTAACGCGAAGTCTACCCATGAGTTCGTTGTCGCCGACAGAATATCGTTTGCCGTAATTAATCGGTATGGATATGTTACGCCGATTGAGGTGTCGACTGGATTTGGAAAAGTGTCAACTGATTACAGATACGTGGATTACATTCTTCAGACCTTGCAGAAACGAGGTTCAGGAAGCTTTTCCCATTTACGAAAATAGTTCTGAGAGTAAGCGATGTATCGATGCGTTTGTCCGTTCTGTCGACCTGCCAACTGACGAGTGTACACGAGAGAAACTCAGTGATGTGTTGCGCCAGCATTCAGACGCATTCGCTTGGTCAGCCGGGGACCTAGGGCGAACCAACCTAGTAAAACACCGGATAGATACGGGGAATGCGACTCCGACTAGGACTCCTGTGCGACGGATCCCAATACGTTGGTAGGGAGAGTTGCAGAAGCTTATCGACGAGATGCTATGAAAGGGTGTAGTACATCCCTCTACATCTCCCTTGGCAGCTCCATTCTTTTAGTGAAGAAAAAGGACGGCAGTTTTAGGTTGTACGTTGACTACAAACGACTAAATGGAGTCGCCCGGAAGGACGCGTTTCCTCTCCCAAGCATCGATGACCTCTTCGACGCGCTTGGAGGGTCGACCTACTTTAGTACGTTAGATTTGGTTTCCGGTTATTGGCAAGTGGAGGTCGAGGAAAGTGACAGAGCGAAAACAGCGTCTATCGTTCCACCCGGTCTCTAAGAGTTTCAGACGATGCCTTTTGGGCTGTCAAACGCCCCCGCAACCTTCCAACGTCTCATGCAGAAAGTTCTACATGAGTTAATTCCATAGAAATGTCTCATTTCTCTGGACGACGTCATCGTGCATGGAAAAATGAAGGATGAACACTTAAACAATCTAGCAGAGGTTTTTGTGTGTTTGATAATGCTAGGCCTTAAGCTTCAGCCAACAAAATGCCACCTGTTGCAGAAAGAAGTTGCCTATCTTGGGCACATCATTTCTGGGGCGGGCATTCGGACGGATCCCTGCGAGACGGAACAGGTGAAGGCATGGCCAATCCCTACTAACGTCGAGGAGTTACGCAGCTTCTTAAGGCTGGCTTCGTACTACCGACGTTTCATAAAAGGGTTTTCAGAGGTAGCAGCACCCCTAAACTCACTGCTACAGAAAGGTCGTATTTTCGAGTGGTGTCGAGGAGCTTTTGACAGATCACGTAATTCCCTCTGCATTACTCCCGTGTTAGTCCTCCCCGATCTGTCGGAACGTGCTGGGGAGTTCATTTTGGACACGGACACCAGCGATCAGGCGATTGGGGCTGTTTTATCACAAAAAGGGACAGATGGCATCGAGAGAGTAGTGTCCTACAGCAGTAGGAGCCTTACGTCAAGTGAGGAACTATTGCACCATCAGAAAAGCAATGTTAGCATTAGTATTTTTCATAAGCAACATCGACATTGTCTGCTGGGGAGGAAATTCGTGGTACGGACAGATCACCAATCCCTTAAGTGGTTGCAGAATTTCAGCGATCCAGAAGGGCAAATTACGTGGTGGCAAGAGCAGTTGCAGGGTTATGATTTTGAGTGTCAGCACCGGCCAGGGAAACAACACGATAATGCAAACGCGCTGTCAAGGATTTCATCCCGCGACCATAGGGATTGTCCCTCATGCATCAGACAACGCGTAGTGTTAGTTAACCTACTCGCAGTTGAGTACGGCCGTTGGCAAGAGGCACATGGTTCAGATCCAGACATTGCAATTATCTATGATAAACTACGCTCTGGAGGTGACAGACCGACTCCGAAAGAAATGAAGTGAAGCAGCTACGACGCTCGGTGTTTGTGGGCCATGTGGGACAAGCTGGCCATTGAAGAGGCTGTGCTTGACTTCGGGCCAACATACGTTCGGCGGATAGTAGTTCCGCAGAAGTTAGTTACCGAAGTGTTGTCAGAACTGCATCAACAACTGGGGCACGCTGGAGTAAATAAACTCGAGGCGGCGGTACGCCAACGATTCTGATGGCCACATCAACGAAGAGATGTCGTCATTTTGCCAGACATGTGAGAGGTGCGCCACGTTCAAGAATCCGCGAATTACCTACTAGGCACCACTGCAGAGCATAACGGCAGGGTTTCCGAAGGAGATCGTAGGAGCAGACCTCATTGGTCCTCTGTAAGAGACACCGCGGGGAACCCGATACATTCTAGTCATGGCAGATTATTTCACCAACTGGTGCGAGACCGTACCCATCACGCGAGCTGGCACCGTCACAGTGGCAGCATCAGTGAGGAATCACTGGATTTGCCAATGGGGAGATCCGGGACAACCGCATACAGATAGAGGGTCGTGTTTTGAAAGCTCGCTGGTGCAGGAAATTTGTCGAGTACTCGCTGTCGACAAGACACGGACAAGGGCGTATCATCCCCAAGGTAACGGACAGGCGGAACGCACGAATCGATCGTTAACGTCTCTTCTGGAGCCTTTCGTAGACCAAAACATCTATGATTGGGATGTTCTGTTGCGTAGATGCTTGTTGGCCTATGGAAGTACGATCCACTCATCTACTGGGCAAACGTCATCTCTCATGTGGACGGGAAGAGAAGTTCGGCTATTCACAGACGTCCGACTGCCTATATCGCAACACGTATCTGACCGTAACCAACTACGTGAGTAGGCTTCTCGACTTTATTCGACAGGCACATCAAACTGCACGCGTTCATTTGGCGAACGCCCAACGACGGCAAAAGGAATACTACAGCAAAAAGGTTTTCAGCATCCCGTTGAAGACAGGCGAACTTGTATATTTGCATCAGGCACCAACGGCAGAGATGCCAGCGAAGTTACATCACGAATGGACGGGTCCTTACGTTATGCAACGAATAATTTGATCTAACTTATGTGATTAAGGACCCGAACAACCCCGTCGGACAACCTATGGTCGTACACTTTAATAGGCTTAAACCATTCCGGTGTGAGACTGACCACTCAGCCGAGGAGCTGCACAATGAAACGCCGACAGAAGTAGCGTCTGAAATAGAAGTACTGGCTCAAGGGGGCTACGGTGTGGCAACGGGGACGTTGACTATTTAGAGGGGGTGTGGTGTAACCAAGTAACAAAACCGCTATGGCGCGCGACCGAATTCGAATTGTTGCTTTCACGGCATCTTTCTCATTTGCCTTCCAAAGCGCCATACCTGTACAATTACCGAACACGGACAATAATAATAATATCAATAATAATAATAATAATAATAATAATAATAATAATAAATCACCATCTGTACGCCGTAACGGCGCCTCGCTGCCACGCGATCACCATCAGCCGCGCGTGGGCTGAGTATACCGCGACGACGCCCGCCCCTACGCGGATTCGAACCGGTGACCTTATGGTTGCAAACCAGACCCGCATACCACTCGGCCACCGGCTGACAAGACGGACAATATCTTAAAGAAAACGGTTAACTGTAACTGTTCTCTCAACTCTTTATAGATTACTGCTTTCCTATCATGGGGCTTACGTGTTGTTCAACAGAAGTTCTGTCCCGACGTATGGTGTTCTCTCTGATACGTATACTACAATTATTCCGATCTTTGCAAGCGTGCACGATGTCGGACGCACGTTCCATGCCTCTGAGTGGCGTCTCTCGGTCGACTGTACAACCTATGATATGGAGCAGTGGTGAAGAGCTCACTAATTTGCTTTCGTCGTGTTATTTTAAAAGTAGTCTACTTGTATGTTATTTTTTAGCGTCATCCGCTCATGTTGATGCACAAGCATTTTACATAACGCATAAATTGTGTATTCACGAACCTGCTTGTGCTAGCACTAGCATCGGTTTACCAGTGTCATGGAATCAACGAATGCTCCCGCAACTGTTTTTTCATCCAACGGAAGCACTGAGGAAGTTCAGGAATGCCGAGAGATCCGGAAGACCAACGGTAAGTGCTACTGTCATGCGATGTCACCCATCATTGTTTCTGTAGGCAGCATTTTACGCCCTTCCGAGGACGCGAATTTCAAGAAGTTTTACATGCATGTTTAGAAGCGAAGGTCTCAGTATCGCAGATTGATATATTTCTCAGGAATTTCCGACGTTTACATCCGGAGCTGTTTGCATCCTCACGATCCCCCATGCACACTCCTCGTTATTGCCCTGTACGCTTCATCAAAGGTGGACGTTATGTGCATCTTGGACTGGAAGCCGCATTAGGGCGCATGTTCAATCAGCAAAGTGTCCCTCTTCCTCAGATATTAAACTTGCAACTGCATCTCGATAGTATGACACTTCCGCAGCTCTAGACGTACCTTTTGGCCCATACTTGGACAACTTATGCAACCAAAATTTGACGTATTTGTCGTTGTAGTCTTCTGCGATTTAACGAAGCCGTCAGACGTATTTCTGCAGCCGATCATACAGAAATGTAAGGAAGGCGGGTTGCTTCAATATTGTGGTCCATTCGTCAAAGTGCACCTCATGTAGGTCGTCGCTGACGCACCTGCAAGAGCTTATGTGAAACAAGTAAACAGCACTCGGAATATTTTGCATGCGAAAAATGCACCGCCGTCAGTAAGTGACAAGGTATACTTTGTAGACGTATATAGAGACCATCGCATGACTTTTCCGGTCTTTTCGGAGGCTATCATGAAAAGCAACGAGGATTCCCGCTCCCGACGACAAAGTGAGCATCATGTCGGTGATTCACCTTTAGAAGCTCTGAGAATGGACATAATTGCTGACTTCCCAAGCGAGTGCAGACACATACTGTGCTTGGGAGTGATAATCAGGCTTATCACGTTATGACGTTGTGGACCGATTGAACGGAACATCCGTTTGCCATTCAAAGATTTCGATCGTATCAATGCTTAATGTTGTGCGCTCGCTGACTCACTTCCGAGTTTCCACGGAAATGCCGAATCCTGAAAGACGTGGACAGATGGAACGCCACCGAATTTCGACAGTTTCTATTATACCTCGGACCAGCGGTTTTGAACGGCATTTTGCCGAACAATCTGTAAGAAAACTTTCGAAATCTTTTAATCCTTGCGTATGTGCCTTGCAGTAGAAAATGGTGCTCATACTACATGAAGCATGTAGTGAAAAATATGGGCAAAATGAATGAACAATTGGCGGCAATTTACGGTGAGAGTGAGTTGATCTTCATCGTGCTTTGCCTGCAGCACATATGCGCGGATGTGGATCGACTTGGACCCTTAGATTCTTTCTCCACATTTTCCGTTCGAGTTATATGTGCTGCGTTTACGGCGCATGGTGGGAGCCCTCATATGCCAACGTCGCAGCTATTCCGTCGCATTGCGGAGCGTTCGGCGCCATCTCTTAGTAAAAAGTTCTGGTACGTTGATGACACTGGTTCCGTGACGATTTTGAGTGGGATTAGCAATACTGCCGGCTTCATGCTTCAGGGCGCGTTTGTTACCAGTAAGCCTCACAACAACGCAGTCATTGCACGCGATGCCCCGTCTGTCGTCATTAATGTCACGAACTCGAAAGTGTGCATCCAGCGGTATTTGCATCAGTAAGCACTATCCGACAAATTTATACCCTCCGGAGATCTCCATATCTTTAAGTGTTCCGGGGCACTAACACCATCAAAGTGAATTTCCCAGCGCCAGGTCAGCTGCAAGTGCTTTCCCCTTCCACTAGCTGGAATCACAGCATTCTATCCTATATTGCACAGTTGGCGTTGAAAAGGGACTAACAGATTACTAAGGTAACAAGTGGCTTTCATGGAATTATCATTGCTTTTATTTCAGGTGTCATACAGCATGATACATAAAGGCACGGTAAAAAGAATGTTAAAAAACTCCAGACTTCAATAAATATTTTTCTTTCCTTGGTTGTTCTTTTCGCCTTCTATTAAGCAAAGCCGTTCCTACTAATGAAATCGATTTTTCAGATGTTTCATGTCATTGAATTCGAGGACGCAAGCGTAGCCGTTGCACATGCTGGCTGGATGGTCGGCGATGATCAGGTTCGGTGGCCTAAGTTGCCTTCACGGCAAATAGAGTCTCTGATATTTAACAACAGTCCGCCACCATCATCATCAGCTCCCTTGGATAAGATGAGGACTCAGGTGTACCGGTAAATCTGCCATGTAATGCACAGAACTCTTTGCAGATGACTACGCTAAAGCCAAGAAACTGGAAGGCGTTATTGGAATTCTCGGAGGCTCCTTCGAGCGACGCAACTTTTTCCATGGAGCGTGGCGGAAAACGCAAAATATATGTACAAATGATGCTTAGTTTATTTTCAGCATTCCCGTCCGTTTTCCGGAGTGCGAGACTCCAGTTAAGAAGTCACGTCCACTCATGCCCTCCGCCAAGGTTACAGCTGCGGGCATATTCACCGGATAGTGACCAGGAGAACTTGGATCCACTGAACAATACGCCGGTGATGTCCAGGTAAGTAATATTAAATACCACATGTTGTTAGCCCCATCTCTCTATTTCAGACCTCAATGCCAGAGATGCATATGGATGAATCAAGTTACAGTCTTAAAGGAATGTGCAGTAAGTTGTGACAAGTAATCCTTATCATGTCACAGTAGTCATGATTGGCCATCTGACGTTTGAGTTCGTCAGAATGCAGGAACCCGTTCATTCTCTGGAGTTGAAAATGTGCTCCATGAATCGACTGATAGCCAGTGACAGGGCAGAAGTCGTTAGCCCAGTCCCACTGCCAATGAGCTCCGTGGAAGAGCTCATCACCCTTAACGCGCGGCTGCAAAGCCATGACAGTATGCAGAGGATGGTAATGCGCATATTCATATATCACCTGTTTTAGATGGAGTACTTCGCGAATCTCGGTGGCAAGTCACTCTCGGAATGCGTGCGCAATATCATGCAATCTTTAATAACAAATGTGCTGGTAAGCCAGGTAAACTGGCGGGGCGTACATGCGAAGCAGCGCATAAGCGGATCTCATTTGGCCCGGGCCATAATTGGTAAGCTACGTTAATTACGGTTAACAAAATGGTTATAGATATGACCACGCGCCAAGGCTTCGCGGGATGCACGGGATCCCTGGTGCTCGACAAGATTCGGCGTTGAATCCAGCGTATCCAAGAGCGTGAGACCTTCCACCGGATTTCCAGTACAACACCGGGGGTAGGTGATAAAAGATTGTAACTGTTTGTCATGAAATTACATATCTTATTCTGGGTTTTGTCGCCATTTTTGCGTATCCAACCTGACAGATATTGCGTATCCTGGATGATGGCAGTGATGTAGCTGCGATTTGAGCTGCGTACATCGCGTAGAAAGCTTAGCAGACCTGATTTCTGACCGCCAGGATTTTCGAATAAAAGGGACAAATTTCGGACGCCCATCACAAGCTTCAAACTCTTGTGTATGAGGATAATTCTGCTTCCTTAAGATCCGGTTCATGCAGACAACTGCGTTGGTTGTAGGAACATATATATATATATATATATATATATATATATATATATATATATATATATATATATATAAAATCACAATCTATGTACAGATATTGTGCCATCGGAACCATTGCCGAATAGGAAAACAGAGTTAGTGTAAAACAAACAAACAACTTTTTTGTCCATTTTTCCACTCACGGTTTTTGTTTTGGGGAAGGGAAGGGAAGGCAAATCACCGCAACAAGCAGAGATACCCGCCCGCCACTGAGTTAGGTTTCGAGCCATGACTTCCAACCAACTGCATTCAGCATCCTTGGGACCCCATCCAGGGAGTCGGGAGTAACCAACCATGGCCGGCTGTTTCGTCAGCTTTTTCATCCTGCTTCTCCACCGCACTGTCTCCTCCAACCCTGTTCAGCGACCGCGAACAAGGCACGACGCGGAAGACGCTGAACGGACATACGCAGTACGTGTCCGAGCCATTGTTGTTGGCGCAGTGAGACAAGCGCCTCAAGGAAGTGGCTGTCCCCACTCAAGACACGCTGTCTGACTTCAGCGTTGGTTATTTGGTTCAGCCACCACACACGGGCGATGGACCGCAAGCGACGGTTTTCAAAGACAGACAGTCGGCGCAGGTCATCGGTACGAGCAGGCCAAGTCTCGCAACCGTACAACAGTACAGCGCGGAAGACTGCAATATAAACCTGCCCTTTGATGAAGAGACGGATGTCATGGCGGCGCCATAAATGCCTCAGCCTGGAGAAGGCGAGACGAGCTGTTGAGATGCGCATCGAAATCTCGTTTCCAACAGCCCCACTAGCAGTGATGCAGCTTCCCAGGTAGACAAAACTGTACCACTTCCAGCGTCTCACCATCGATGGTGAGTGCAGGTAGGGGCGTATGCCAGTCTTGAAAAAGCGCTTTGCACTTGGATGGTGAAAAGTGCATGCCGTACTTCGACGCTTCAATCGCCAGGCAGTTAAGTGCAAGTTGGACGACTTGCAAACTGTCACCCAACAAGACGATATCATCAGTGTAATCAAAATCAACCATCTGACTACTTGGAAGTAGCTCAACACCAGGGTTAAACAAGTCTTCTAGTGCATTTTTGAGGACATCCTCAAAGGCAGAATTGAAGAGGAATGAAGAGATGACATCCTTGTCGAACCCCACTGGTGACAACAAAGGAAGGTGAAAGCTTGCCATAAACCCTAACTCTACCCGAGGTTAGACTATACAGAACACTCGAAATAGAAACGGACTTCCCGGGAATACCATCCCTCAACAGACAGTGCCACAATGCAGCCCTGTCGACAATTGACATCAGCACGGATATTCAGGAACACAACAATCGTTAGCTTTCGATAAACATAGCGAAGCTCGAGAATCTGGCGGTGTGAAAATCTGATCGATGCAGCCGCGACGAGGTCAGAACCCAGCCTGCTCTTCTCGCTGTAGTGTTTCACGTGTTGGGAATAGCCTGCGAAGAATGATAGACATCTGATTCTTGCAAACGACGGGAACCAAACTTATGCTCCTGTAATTGGAACACTTAGTGCGCAGGCTCTTTTTGGAGATGGGGACGACTACTAACTCATTCCAGAATGATGGAACCTATTTTGCCCAGACTTGTGAGAACAAAGCGGTGAGTTCTCGAACCATCTTTAAATAGAGCTGGAGGTGGACCATCAGGGCCAGGTGCCTTATAACACTTTAGGCAGAAGAGTTCCCGCTAGTTTTCCGGGTGATAGGGAGGACCAGTGGGGATAGTCCATTTAGTACCAGTGCGCTCCCCAGGGAAAACAGATAGAGCTGGCGACCAGGAAAACTGAGCGAAAATTTTCGGCTATCGCTCCAACCGTCCTTGAAGATAAGTGATTACAGAGCCATCCTCTTCGTAAATTGTTTCGCTTACTCCAGATCGGAAGCCTTCGGTGACTCGGATGAGGTGGAACAGTTTTCTGGTATTACCAGAGAGGAAGCAGTAGTGTAATCCATCCGTCGCAACGAGACTGGGTCTTAACGTGATGCGACGGTTTGCGTACCTCCTTGACCCATTGAGCTATACTGAGTGATGCCTCCTAGCATCTTGAGAGCTACTCCTACCAGGTTGGTCAATGGTGAGAGGTCAGACAAACTCAGTCTCCTGGTCCTCCAGGTTGGGGGTTTGAAATGGGATGGCGTCCATTTCTGTAAAACTAAATCATTGCCACCGCCCCGCTGCCTTGCGAACAGGCTTTTGAGCCAAAGGCTTTGGATGAGAACTCTAATCGTCCTCCTGTCTAGGTTTGGGCGCTCTGGCAGTATCTCAGACTACATACAACCATGACATTTTCTTCAAACATAAACTTCATCCTGCATCCGCCGTCGCACAGATTATCAAGGGTCGCCTTATCTGCTGCATACAGCAGGGCGGATAAGAGAAAACATGCTATTGCTGGCGCCTCCCTTCTTTCTTTTCCACCTTTTTCTCTTGCTCCCGACCCCCATTACTAACCTTCTTTCTATAACTCCCAGCTTAATTGACAGCAACCGAAGTGCCACTGGAGTAGAACCATCTGCAGCCACCATCCCAGAACACCCATCGGACGCCTATCGGCAGAAGTTCCTTATAAGGCCACGCTATCCCGTTTCCATGGTGACATTCAACGTTCGCACTCTAAGACAAACTGGTCAACAGGCTGCACTCGCACGCACCTTGGACACACTGGGTATTGATGTGTGTTGTGTGTCCGAAATTAGGATCAATGACCCTAACGGGGTTATTGAATTGACTGCACCCGGCTTATCCTCTCGTTATTGGTTGCACGCATCCGGAGACACCGATTCAGCAATCACGGGTCAAGCTGGTGTAGGTATCACTCTCAGCTCCAAGGCTGTCATCGTTGGTTGATTGGATTCCGGTGAACAGCCGTTTAATTACAGCCCGTTTGACGACATCAGCTAAGGTGGATTCACGGAGCAATGCAAAAGCTGTTTTTTTGTGATTTCTTTTTATGCTTCCACCGACTGCAGTTCTAATGCAGTCAAGGACACTTTCTATCACGAACTCAACGTACTACTACGCAGTGCTACTAGTTCAGATATTATAGTACTTGCAAGGGATATGAACGCACAAGTAGGGCGTCTGAGCTCTCCAGAAGCTCAACTGGGTGGTAAATATGGGCTTAACTCCGAACGCACTGACAACATTGAACGTCTGCTGCAGCTGTGTGCAGTGCACCAATTGTTTCTTACTAGCATTGCTTGTAGACACAGTGGGCGCCGAAGTGCCACTTGGCTTCCTCCTGTAGCTGGTCAGCGATGGACCCAAATTGACCACATAGCCATGAGTTACAGATGGCGTGGTTTCATTCTGGATTGCCGCTCGTACTGGAGTACCTGCGTCGACTCGGATCATGCCTTGGTACGCTGTCATTTCTTGATGAACTTTACCGGGAGGCGCACCAAGCGTCTTTTCCAATTGGCAACTGAGAAATTGTCTCAGCCCTCGGTCAGGCAAGCATATCAAGATGCACTGCATACCGAACTTTCGCTACCTTGTCCTAATGACACTGAGCTTCAGTGGAATAGGATCTCGGCCGCCATGCACGACGCAGGAGCTTGTGGCACTATCCATCGTCACCACACCAGTAACTGGATATCCGAGAGGTCGGTGAACCTGTTGGAATCTAGAAGACACCTCCCGGCTGGTTCTGAACAAAATGTGACCAAACGGGCTATTAGGCGTGAACTAAAGCGGAGCGTACTTGCTGACAAGGAAGCCTGGTGGACCAGTAAGGCTCGAGAAATGGAGAAGGCAGGAGCAATAGGCAATTACCACAAGCTCTTCTAGCTAATCTGCACCACTGGTCCCAGAAAACCAGGCGTCAGTGAGACAATCAAAGACTGTGCGGGTGCGCTGATGCACAGGGATGGCGATGAGGTCCTCTGCAAAGCACTGACCTTATTCGAATGTATCTGGAAGGTTGAGAGTGTCCCGGCTAATTGGAACAAATCTATTATAGTGGCAGTATACAAGAAGGGCAGTCCCACAGACTGTGCGAACCACAGGGGTATTAGCCTAACGCCAGTTGTGACGAAATTATTGGTCTCGATTATCGTTCATCGCCTCACTGCGGAACGGGAATCTCGGATTAGGGAAGA